TAAAAAAGAATGCATGAAGCTAGAATAAATTGTTTTTGTTTGCAAGCAGATACCCTGTTCTTTTGATGTTTTATGTAACAAAATATATACAAATTAATACCTAAACAGGGACATAGTAGTATACTTAAAGTATAATGTAAAGTTCACTTAAAGAAAACTTACGAGTATACTTGCAGCATAAAACTACTAAACTAGTAGTTTACTGAGACTATACTTCAAAGTGTACTAAAAATGCTACTACAAGTATTTAATTAGTAAACTATCAGTATTCATATAAGTTCACTTTTAGTATAGTTACAGTACAAGCTAAAACATTTTGATGTAAACTAGTTGTGTACTCAAAGTTTACTACTGTTATACTTAAAGTATACTTAAAAGTATACTTTTATATACTAGAAAGTGGGCCAATATAGTCCCAAGGAGTATTGAAATAGTACACTTACAAGTATACTACTAGTACACTGATATTTGTATACTTACTACATAAAGTATACTTAAAAATATACTTGAACTTTACTTAAGTATACTTAATAAAATAAACTTGAAGTATACTACTTTTTGGTAAGGGTATGCATATAATATATTTTAATGTCTAGTTTGTTTTAACCTTCAAGAACGCATGTTAAGTCGTTAGTGTGAGGATTTGTGCGCACTTCCCAATTTACACTGAACTTTTTAAGAATGCTTCTATAAACGGATTATAAGTCAGATGCACTCACCGACATCAGCGAAGCTCACTATCTCGTATGCCTGGTTACTCGTGCGCGAGTTGGGCACGTTATTGTCCAGCTCCAGCGTTCCGTCTTGTCTGACGCGGCCCGCGTGCAGCTTGCGCAGCGCCGTCATGAGCGCGGCACGCGGCACCGTCTGCGTGATGTTTGGCCTCTCCCGCAGGTGAAGCTTGCTCAGGATCTGCTGTTTTGCTATCTCGACCAGGTAACGCTCCTCCGTGCCCTTCTCCATCGCAGGCATGCCGCACGTCGGGCAGCCGGTGGCGGCCGCGCTCGTTCCACTCACCGTAAACGCGCTCAGCACCACCAGCGTGGACAGCACCCCGGACGCAAGCCCGCACAGGTGCGCCCACGAGAACGACACCAAGAACATGTTGCTCGTTTGAGTCTGACAGAGTTCGGAGAGACGCGCACTAGCGAGTGGATGGAGCGGAGTGAGTCGCACCTGAGCACTCAGAAGTGGGGTAATCCATCAAAAGTTGTGACACGTTTAAGGGACGCACCAATGACGCGCAGGTGAGCGACACGCTGTTGGGATGCACATCATGCACACTCCTCACTGAAGCATATATATAGCTCTGCTGGGGTTAATCATTAGCGCGAACAAATAAACATAGACACTTACAGTGCCACGTCGAGACGCGGCTGCCCAAGCGAAGCCCAAGCGAAGTCCAAACTCTCACCTCTGTCCCAGTGACCCCCAACATTGAAACCCTAAAGCATCCAAACCAAACAGATCACTAGACAACACAAGATCGGTAAATATGACGCAAGCCCGGCTGTCTCAGTGTGTCGCAGATGCGCAGCGCATCGACTAGTGTGTGCAAAAACTCTTCCAGTTGGCTCAGTTTATCTTAAATGTCCCAAACTATGACCATTAAAGGGGTAGTTCACCAAAAATGATCGTTTTGCATCATTTACTGTCGTTCCAAATCTGAAAAAAAGTATATCTTTTAGTGTCCTTACAGTGGAAGTCAATGGGGTCTAATGTTTGATTCCCAATGTTCTTAAAATATGATCTTGTGTTCCACAGATGAAAGTCTATCAAGTAAATGATGACAGAATGATCTTGTTTGATCTTAAATAATAAATACAAATTATATACATAGATGTGTGTTCATTTATTAAGAGGACAGTAAAATAAGAAGTGCCAGAGTTTCAGGATTGCCTAGTACTGAAAGTCGAAAATTGTAATAGATTAGTTGAAGAATTTACTCGTAGCAAAGAATTGTGCATTTGGATTTTTTTTTTTTGGCAAGGCTGGGTTCAGACAGGCTATCATACAGTTTAATAGCGCTAATACACTAAAACATAATTTTTGAAGTGGTAAATAATACAAGGTTTATAGTCTTTCTACTTAATTTCACGTTTAATTTGACTTGCCATTTTTTGTAGTCGAGTGTGAAAATGAATGGATTTTTTTCAGTGGTGAAATGTTCAAACTGGCAGAGTTTGTGCATCAGGTTTCGAGCTTTTAAACCGTGTCTCCCGTTGTTTAGTGACTTAAACACTAACTAGTATGCAATGTCTAAAATGCTACTTTTATATTGCATATTGCAATATGTGGGCAGCACGAGAAACAAATAAAAACCAACAGGAAAATATATGAACCGTATCTGCATCCCTACATGGCATATGGTGTAATTGAGGGTGATTAATTGACACAGATAATGAACCCACGTGAGTTCTGACCAGCACAGATGCTGTAAGCTGCTCAGACTCGCAGTGCGCAGGCGCCGTCTAGTGGTTCATGTGGAGATCACTGACCAGACAATAATGATCCGGCGCGTTATGGCATCTGTGCATGGGTCATGTCATGTTGCATAGGCCTATATAAATACATTCGATTTCGATGATGTGTGCATGCTGTGTTGTCGTTTGTCCTCTCTTTTAATAAAGTTTGATTTTATTTGTTAAAGTCGGTTTCTTCATCTGGTATTTTACTTTGGATAACCTCAGAATTCTTTTAAAAAAATGGTTGTTTGGTGAAGTTTTAGAAATCTTTTGTATTCTCGTTCATGTTGTGATGCCACTAAATGTTTGCTGTACCAAATGTGTCCTGATAACCTTTAACTCTCTGACTTCTTTTTTGAGCGTGTGTTTTTTAGCCACATCGGTGAATAACACATTCCATTAAATGCTTTGGTTTGGTTTATTTTGTCTCTCAGGTTACATGCAGAGGCGGACAAGTATTTTTACTCTGCTTTGTTTGTACTTTATCAGAGTGTTTTTCTTTAGAAAACTTTACTTCACAACATTCCAAAGCATTTTACTGCACTACGTTTCATATTAAATATCATTTAATACTTAATTACATTAGAAATCTAGTACTTACTTTCTTTTACTCAAGTAAAGGTAATTCAAAGATTTACTTGAGTACAAGAAAGTACTACATTTTTAATGTTCTTAGGTATTAAAGGTAACTTTTATTTATGAAATGCAGTAAAAAGGACAACATTATGCTTGGGAATGTAGTGAAGTAAAGTTTTCCAAAGAAAGCGCTCTGATAAAGTACAGATATTTTTAAATGTACTTGAGTAAAGTAAAAATACTTCACTATACTGTCCGCCTCTGGTTATATTTAAATGTGGAATTTGATCATTTCAGACAAACATAACCTCACAAATACACGCTTTTTAGGTTCTTCACAGACAACTATTATGCCACAATACTTCAGTCACAATAAAATGGATCACAGATGGGCATAATTGACATCTTATCTTTTATTAGAGGAGACTGAGAACTTATACAGAACATTTTACATTTGCTGAAGGTAAAAAACACAATGTATTTAGACAAAAACTTCTTCATGTAAATGTTATGACTCAAAAATATCATAAGGATCATAAGCCATTAGCTTGATGAGACTTCTAAGGTCTATCAGCAGATTTTACCCCAATATTTACAGATTACAAAATCTGAACATTCTGCTGGTCAGAACAAAGATATAGTTCACAGCACTGGGTAGATTACAAAAACGTATAGTCCATACAGATTACATGGTGAAAACAGTTATAGTGTAATAGGTTGGTAATGTATTCTGATTACTTTTAGATTATCATACTTGTTTTAGACTATCCATTGAAGTATACCGTATTGATATAAAACATATATTCCTTTTTTTTTTCAGATATCAACATCATGAAGTGCATTAAACATTACACCAGGGTTTCCCAAACTGGGTTTATAATGTAAGAGAGTGGATATAAAGCTAATAATTTATGAAATCATAAAAATTATTAAAACTAGCAATCATGTAATCCATAAAAACGTAACTGTATTCTATCATGAGCATTTTAAAATGTAATCTTACAAGTAATTTTTGGAATCGATAGCGTGATCCACATGATGTTACAAAGTAAAAATGTTGAAAGGTTTTTCATAAATTGCTACATCTCAGTTCCTAACCTCCAACAAATTGCAGTTCATGTTCATTAGAATGGTGCATCATTTTCATATTGCTCACAAACAAAACTTTAAATTTGAACATTTCTGACTCTACAGTAACTAGTGAGCAATGCACGAGGTTTAATTGCCCTCATGATGAACAGGAGATAAAACAACCGCTGGCAAGCCAATCTAGTTTTATCCAGCGCACTAGATAGTAACGCATCAGTTTGCCAGGTTGATCCAGCAGATGAGTTGCACAAAAATACCCAAGATTGTGAAAATAACCCCACAAAATGATCTAAAGGGCTCAGTTTTTGAGAAGAAATAGACCTAATGGTACAGTCTGATCTGCTGAGGTCACACTACATATAGGAGAAAGGTGAAAGTGAAGCGTGAGTTCATTCTGTGCTTCATTTGACATGTTCCTGACCTCAGAAAAAGAAGAAAGATCAACAAGTGACAGATAGGACACACGCACTGAACATAGGCCCGGTCTGTGGATCTGCACGTCGCTCGGGATATCATGCACTCAACATGTGCAGAAAAAACCACAAGCTCCAGCCCTTTGATTTGACTGATAGGCTACGCAAACACTGTATTTGTCATTGTTTTAAATGTAAAATCATGAACAATATGAATCTAATGTCTAACTTAGACTCTGCTTTGCAGAAAAGTACTGAGACATTAGAATGCACCAGAGTCGGTATGTATGCATGTACGTTCTCCTAATAAAAAAAGTTACTAAGTTTTATTTGGATTATACAGTAGCCAATATACACCATGCCAGCATATTTACAATACTCCTATTGTAAAATATAAGCTGTTTTGTGAAAATGTAAATAGAATATTGTGCAATTGTTTTATGTAGAGTAGCCAATATACACAATGCCAGCATGATCACAACTATTTTTTGAAGTTGAAAAGAAAGATTATTAGAGAACTTTTACAGGAAAATAGTATTTTAGTTTTTCACAGAATTTCACATCTAATTCAATGTGCTTCTTGTGGTTTCTTTGTAATTATTTGTGAAATGTATTAGCAATTTCTGAGTGAAAATGGTTTCTACATCAATTGTTTTGTTGGTAATATTTTATTTTAAGGTGTGCTTGTTACACGTTACATGCACTTCATATTATATTAACAATAAATTATGCATAATAACATACAAGTAACCCTAAGACAAACCCTAATCCTAACCCTAACAATATAGTAAGTACATGTAGTTAATTAATATTACTCAGTACTTCAATGTATAATTACACTGTAACAAAGACACCTTAAAATAAAGTGAAACCGTTTTTCAGTGTACTCTTATAATACTACATAAGAGAATAAATGTTAAATATAAAATATATGCTACATTTTGTGAAATTACAAATAGAGTATTGCTTTATATTTGCTTTGTACAGCAGCCAATATACACCATGCCAGCCACCACATATATATATATATATACATACATATACACACATACATACTGTACACACACACACACACATATATATATATATATATACACACAGATACATATTATATACACACACACACATATAAAACACTCACACTCTCTCTCTCTCTCACACACACACACTTACATGCATGTGTACATACATGCACACACACTCACAAACACTCACACTCTCTCTCTCTCACACAACACACACACACACACATACGTACTGTATACACACACACACACACTCACACATATATATACACGCACATACGTACTGTATACACACACACATATATATACACACACACACGTATATATATACACACGCACACACGTATATATATACACACACACACACACACACACACATATATATA